AATTTTAAATTATCTTCAGCAAAATTTTACTTGTGTGTGATATTAATTTTGTTCAATAATTCCCACATTCCATTGGATCATATTTCTTTGGGCAAGGCACAGATATGGATCTTTCCCAGTTGGTTGGCCAGGTAGCTATCAAATTTCTTGGCATAAATGAGGGCTTCTAGCATTGCATTTGTTTGTTGAAACATCTCAATTGGTATTGTCAATTCTTGGAGCCTTGTTTTTCATCAATGCTTTCATTGCAAGTTGGATTTCTTCTTCTAGTATCATCAGTTCTTGATCATATGCTACTTCCTGAACACTCTTTTTGGTACAGTCACTGTATGTTCCTTCCATTTTCTTTTGATGCTTCCTGCATGCTTCAATATTCGCCCATCAAATCCTTCAATACTGCAATTTGAGACTTGATTTTTTTCTTCGGTTCTTTCAGCTTGAGAAATGCAATTGTGTTCTTCCCTTCAGGTTTTCTAACTCCAGGTCTTTGCACATTTTATAATACTCTACTTTGTCTTCTTCTGTTCCACTTTTACTTATTTCTCCCATTCACTTTAGCTAATCTATGTTCAAGTTTCAGAATCTCTGCTGACATCCATTTTGTTCTACCTTTCCTGTCGTTTTAATGACCTTTTGCTTTCTTCATGTAAGATGTCCCTGATGTCATCACACAATTCAAGTGGTCTTCAGTCATTAGTGGTCAATGTGTCAAATCTGTTCTTGAGATGGTCTCTAAATTCAGGTGGGATATAGTCATGGTCATACTTTGGCTCTTGTGGACTCCTTCTAATTTTCCTCAGCTTCAGCTTGAACTTGCATATGAGCATTTGATAGTCTGTTCTACAGCCAGCCCCTGTCCTTGTTCTGACTGATGATATTGAGCTTCTCTATCATCTCTTTCCACAGATGTAGATGTGATTCCTGTGTATTCCATTCAGTGAGGTCTTTATGTATAGTCACCATTTATGTTGTTGAAAAGGGTATTTGCAATAAACAAGTCATTGGTCTTGCAAAATTCTATCTCCAATGTTTCTATCACCAAGGCCATATTTTCCAGCTACCTAGCCTTCTTCATTTCCATCTTCCAATCACCAGTAATAATCGATGCATCTTGATTGCATGTTTGGTCAATTTCAGACTGCAGAAGTTGGTTAAAAAAAAAAAACTTCAGTTTCTTTGTTTTTGGTATTAGTGGTTGGTGTATAAATCTGAACGGTCATATTAATTTGTCTTCCTTGTAGCCATATGAATATTATCCATCACTGACAGCCTTGTACTTCAGAATAGGTCTTGAAATGTTCTTTTTGACAATGAATGTGCCACCATTCTTCTTCTATTTGTCATTCCCAGGATAGTAGACCATATGTCTGTCCAATTCAAAATAACCAACAGCAGTCCAGTTCAGCTCACTCATGCCTAGAATATTGATCTTCAAGCATTCTACTTTGTATTTGACAACGATCAATTTTCCTGATTCATACTTCATACATTCTACATTTTGATTATTAATGGATTTTTGCAGCTATTTCTTCTCAATTTTGAATCATGCCACATCAACAAATGAAGCTCCACATCAAGGCTGCCTCCACTTTGAAGAGGCAGCTCTTTAAGAGTGGTATTTTGAGTGTCTTCCAACCTGAAGACAGTGCTCCATTGCTATTCATAAGGTTTTCACTGGGCAGTTTTTTCAGTAGTCTATTCCTCCTCCCTATTCTGTCTTGGTCTGGAAGCTCTGCTGAAGCCTGTCCACCATGGGTGACCCTACTCTTACTTGAAATACTGCTGGCATAGATTCCAGCATCACAGCAACACACAAGCCACCACAGTTCCACAAACTGACAGAGTGGTAGTGTTAATATTACTATATAGTAATACACTGATTTTGTTCCAGAGTCTGGTATCCAGCAGAATTCTATTCTTTCTAATGGTTTGTAGGCTATTTTGGATTTTTCTGTATATAAACATCATCTATGAATAGCAATTGTTTTGTCACTTCTTTCCCATTTCTTATTCTTTCTCCTTGTCTTACTGCATTGGTTAAGGTGTCTCTAATAAAGCAGGCATGGAAAGTACCTGGATAGCTATGATAAAGGGCAATCCAGTCTAACTCCTGACTTTAAAGAGATGGCTTCTATCTTGTCTTCATGTACAACATTTGCTATTGATTGTTGGTAGATGTCTTTATCCAGATTTTTTTTAAGAAAAGTTTCTTCTAGTTCTATATTGCTAAGAGTATCATCACAGTTTTTATCAAATTCTTTTCCTGTACTTATTGAGATGAGCATACGAATTCCCCCTTTAATCTATTAGGCTGAATCCTCCACATGCAGGAAGAAAGAAGGTGTGTGTGTGGGGGGGAGTCTCAAAGAAAACACTTTTACCCCAACTTTTTATTATTTTCATGAAAGGCGAAAAAAAGGAACCCTTTATGATAGTGAAAATATACTTTATTTATTTATTTTTAATACAATAGCTTCCAGCAATATACTGGTGTATGATGTTCCAGAAAGAGAAAAGAAAATATGACCATACTATTATAAGCTTTCATTTCCCTTTTCAAGTAATTTTAAAGAAAATACTCCAATTCTGCTCAACAGTATGGCCTGGGGAATCGAAAATTTTTTCCATGATAAAAATATAATTTTGGTGGCTCCAACTTTGATAGATTTATAAGAGAGGAATAATAAGAAAAGTCCATGTAGTATTAATGAATGCTTCCCTCTCTTTGACTCAAATACTGGTTAAAATCTGTGTAAGTAAATGGCTAAGCAATAAACTTAATGAAATGTGTATCAAAATGTGTAGGAAAAAATAATTTCTATTTCCTCTCATTTTTACTTTGTAGTATTCTCTAAATGCATTTTTTTATATGCAACTCTAGAGAGATTCAAAATTCAGCAGAAGTAAAAATGCCTAGATTCTAGAATTTATCAACTTAGTGTAAGAATAAATGTCAGAAGACTCTGAATTGTATACAAATTGCTCAAGGATTTAAAGACAAATCATTAAAAGCCAAAGTTACCAAGAAATAAAATCTTAATTTGAATTCTATGACAAGTTTATAGTACTAGTAAAAGAAGGTAACAGAACAGTATTAAAATTTTGTTCTATGTAAGAAAAAGGGGAGAGGGAAGGAGTATGTTGTCTGAAACAGCAGAGCGCTTTCCTTGGTGAGTCGGAGAACTGCCATTCAGATTCTAACCTCCTCACTGATGTGGGATAAAATGGATGCAAACATCTGAAGGAGAAAATGATTTAGTAGTTGTAGAAACACTATCAGATGATTTCCGTTGTGTCACCCCATATGTTACATGAATCGTCATCAACTCTAATGCCCCACATCTCCCAAGATTTTAAGCTATGATCTTCCCACAAATCCATGAGGAAGTGAAAGCAAGGTGCAGGATGATCCTTCTTTCTAGCTTTTGTCTGTCTGCGAATTTCGTCTGTCTTCCCTGATAACGTAATAAAATCTCTCTTTCTACAGATAAAAATAATTCTGCTTTATTTAACATCCTATAGACCAACCAACCAAGTATGACAACAAGCACAAATGCCTACCTTGAACATCCAGACAGACAGCCAAGTGTATGAGTGGACAGATACTTTAAAAAATAATGAAGAGAGAGGATAGATCTCCAAAGTGAAAATAACTTCACCGCTGAGTTTCAGCGTGTTTTTTTATCACTGTTTTGAGGACTACAGCTCTTTCCTTCAGGTGCCCTCCACTCTGTACCACTCAGTCCACCAATCACTAGACAGCCCTTCCTTCTCTTAAATCATTTTCATACTTATGAGGCAACAAGCTTTCTTCCATGTCACCTGAATGCCAAGTTACCACTATGTTAAAAGTAAGCAAAAAGTGGTGATTCTTGCCTCTGTACTGGTAGATATAACACTCTCATCCACCAAAGCTATGAAAATGTAATTCCTCAATAATCTGCCTCACACACCAGACAGCACTTCTTCCTGAAACCAGATAAATCCTATCTGAAAGTTAATTACAAAAAGATGGATGTGATCAGCAACAGGATGTCTAAGATAAATAAGAAAGACAAAGGACTATCCCTAAACCAAATGGATACAATATGGATAGATCTTTCTATACCAAGCTAATTACTGATAGGTTAAAAAATGGAGTATGTCTGTAAAAGTCAAGCTGCTTCCATAAAGCCAGTGCTTACTAAATGTGAGCATATAAAAGGGAGGAAGCTGTCTTTCTAAAGCAATATACTTAAAATTTCGAAAAACAGCTAATGAGAAATAGCACTTCTTAAACAAGTTAGGTATAAAAATCTACCATAAAATGTGTTTGAATCTCACCATAGTCTTGAAAGTAGTACTTAGAAAATCTATTTTAAAATAAAAATGAATAAATACATAGAAACTTTTGTTTATTTTCACCAAGTCTGACCTCACCTATTAGAACACAAAAAATTCCTGGCACAGGACTTCCAATTTAAATAAACAAACAAAAATACGCAGCGTGCTATTCCTCAACATAGATGTAGAAAAATTTAACTCAAAAAAGTACATTGGTTGAGATTAGGCACCACTGTATAAAGTACACACTCATCATAACTACAATTTAGTCCAAAAGGAATGAACAACCCTCTACCCAAAGTCTAGCGTTAAAGGAGGGTGAAATGGGAAAGCTAGTAATCTCTTGAGTTTTACCTTATATTTAACATAGGATGGGGTAATGCGCTCTTTAGATTAAGTATCTACATTAAATATGCTTGCAAAACAAAATTTTACTTGAAATTTTGACAAACCCACCCCACGTTCCTTAGGTTGTTAATTTCTTTAAGTGTTCATTTTTATGTTAGTAATCACTCTCCTGCTATAGCTAAATCAACTAAGTATTAGTTTATGTAGTGATGCTCAAAAGATACACAAGCAGCAAAGATCTATGCTTACCAAAAAGGGGTTTAACAATTAAAACAAAATGGAAAAAAAGCAGTAATGTTCCAAATGCGTGGCACTGGGCAAAAACAAACAACAGATGAAGATAGAGCCTATCAGGTTGCCCACTGGCTTCTCTCGGATAAAATGCTTGAGTCAGATCTTGAGAACTTTTTACTTATTCATAGTGCCAGGTGTTAAAACTGGTATAAAGGATAGATGCTCTCAGCCAAAAATAAAAATCTATCTAAGAAAGCAAAACGAGCACAATCTGTAGTGACTTTTTGTAAAGGCTCTCTTTTCTGGTAGCAATATTCCTTAGCACATATCCAGGATAGACGGAATTGAAACAGAGTATTTCTGATACAGTAGCAATCCTTCCATATACTCTTTCTAAATATAATAAAATTCCAAAAATACATAAATATTCCTTGTACCATGTATTATGCACCACTTTGGGGCTGACTGACGAAATCATGGCTACTATTTTAATAGTTAAACATTGCACCTCAAAAGCCCTGTCACCTATAAACAGTGACTGGACATAATGGTGAGGGCTCCAGAGAGATGGCAAACTACTTCTAAACTGAAAAGTTTGTGATGGAGTGTCTCCAAATTAGGAGGAGGAATGGGTAGGGAAGGTAGGCAGGTCAACAGAATTTTAAAATAATACTGCTTAGGAGTGTATATTTTAAGACAGCTACTATACCTTGTCTATCCTTTTATCCTAATCTTGAGTAACTGCATATTCATGCAAAATAAAATTTCTACTATATAAGAAGAGGAGCAGTCTGTTAGGAAAAGCATACTCTGTTAGGGGAAGATGTGAAGACATCTCTCTCCTAAGTGCTACTTTACTTGGTGAGTCTTTTGGCTACATCACTATAAGCTATTTCCACCTCCTTATCACTGGGACAAGTATTGGTAAATTCATCCCTGCTATAAGCATTAGTTAAGTATCTCCAGATGCCGGTCATTTCTTTTGGAATATCAAAGTTGCGATATTTTTTGGCCACCACCTGAAATAGAAAGAGATGCAGAGTTAACAGATTTATTTTCCATCTCTTGTAAATCAGATATATCTGTAATTTTAGAGCAAATTATTAATTCTGGAAATCTGAGAATTGCTTCTGTTTGGAAAAAAAGCCTGTCACCTTCTTTCTAACTAGAGATTTAAATAATGACCAGGACTACAACCCACATAAGAGACTCAGAAGTATGACAATGTGAATGCAAATGCCTTCCTTGGACATCTAGTCAGCCAAGTGTAACCATTGGATACATTTTAAAACACACATACCAAGTTGTATTTTACATCTCTGTTTTTCTTACCTTGGACCTTTATTACACAACTGGTGTTCATTACTATACTATTTACAAGTGTGTCTAGCACAGTGTCCCACATAATGAATGCTCAATTTTTTTTTTTTTCTGCCTTGAATAGAAAGGCTGGGTGATACCACTGTATCAGAACAGAATATGACAATGTAAGTCAGTGTACACAATTCCAATTCAAAGTTATCTGTTACATCTTTGAATTTTTATGCAGTTGTGGAAAAAATAACAATTCCTCTTCCTCATAGACCTCAATGTACAAGACATAATTTTTCACTTAATTAACACTGGAGTGTATCAACTATTGTCCAATCGTCATTAAGTTATACTATTTAGGAGTTCCTGGGAGCTCTGGTAGCATAGTGCCTAAGGCACTTGACTGCTAACCAGAAGGCTGGTGGTTCAAACCCACCAGCCACTCCTTGGAAGGAAGGTTGGGCAATCTACTTCCGTAGTGATACTGCCTTGGCAACCCAAGGAGGGGGTCGCTATGAGTCACGTCCGACTCGATGGCAAACAACAACAACAACAAATTTAGGAGTTCCTAGTCAAATACCCTAAGGAGCCCTGGTGGTACAGATGGTTAAGTGCTTGGCTGCTAAGTGAAAGGCTGGCAGTTCATACATGTCCATGGCATAAAGATCTGGCAACCTGCTTCCATAAAGATGACAGCCAAGAAAACATTATGGGGCAGTTCTTACTCTTTCACACGGGGCTGCTATGAGAAATCGACTCAGTGGCCCCTAACAACAACAGTCAAATATCAAACGATTAGAGAAGCTTTAAGCATGAATGAATGCTTATCTTAGTCGACAGAGTACAAGGTCTAATGGCAATTTGACACCACATCCAACAGGCCTACCTTGACAATGTGCAGTTTGGGCAGCAGGTTGCAATCAGCTAACGTCATTTCATTGCCATCCAGAAATTTACGTGTGGAAAACTTAATGTCCTCCATACTATTCTCATCAATTTCATCAGGGAGGGGAGAATTCAGATATTCATCTAGTTTCTGCAGTGTTTTCAAGAGACCTCTCTCCAATGCTGAAAGACAAGAATGCTGTTAAGAGGGGAACTACTGAAACCTCAAAGTAAAAGCATTACTGTCTCGTTCAAAACTGCCTATCAGATGCTGGCTCTGACACTGGGCACTCTAAAACAGGGCAGATGAGGGTTCCTCTTCTCCTGAAGCTTGTTTACACGGGGGGTGAAGGTGGGGGAGCCGGGAATAAGGCAGACACATTTATTCAGATAAACATACGAACAAGTTTAACAGTTTTAGATAGTGGCATCTGTAAACACTTGCTAAAACTAAATGTCCCACACATGAATACATTATGAATTCATGAATACAGTTGATGTTTAAATTGGAAAAATGAAGTGAAAAGAAGCAACCTAGGCGAAGACTATCTTGCAGAGACAGAGACTCTTGCCCTCAGTTTTAAATATTGCTCCACCAGGAATATTTTCTTTTAACACCAAAAAATGTATTAAGAAACTAATACGAACAATTGCAACAAAATAACTTAAGTCAAAGGGTTTCTTTTTGGAGTTTTTGAACTATCTTATAAAACACAAAAAGCCAAGAACAGCACAGGGAAAACAGAGATCATGTTAGAGCAACTTAGTTTACAAATACTGAACTGGAGGGTCCCTTTAGCCAAACAGGTTAAGTTGTTATGACTGGTATAATCCAGAGAGAAGGGGACAAAGCCATCAGCATTTATCTGGAAAGTCAGTTAGTGACCCTTTACAGAAAGGAAGTGGGGATATGCAGTCACTAGAAAGGGAAGACAGACACAGAGAACAACAGACAGATCCTCTGTTCTCCCAGCTTACCCTTTACTTTCGATCACCTTCACATCCAATAGGTTAACTCAAACTGATCATTATAGGACTTGGCCATTAAAAAAATGATTTAACAATCCATATAGTTACAAGTTTGAATAAAGTAACACTGCTAGATCTTTTCCGAAAAAAGGCAAAGGTTTAGATGTTACATACTGGATATTTCACCAGCAACTTAAATACATCTTACAAACCAATACCTCTTCTTCCAAATTGTCTCCACCCACTCACCCCTTGGTCCCTTCATGGTAGTCCAGGCAATAGATGGTAGTCTAGGCTAGGTACAGGACTGGAGGCAGAAAAAGGACTGAGTGGATTTTAGAGTTACAGAGTAGATAAAAAGGCTCTCTGATGCCATAGTGGCCCAGGCATCCGGCTGCTAATCAAATGGCTGGCAGTTGGAACCCACCAGGCTCTTCACAGGAGAAAGATGAGTCTCCTTCTGTAAAGATTTACAGCCTTGGGAACCCTTTGGGGCAGTTCTACTCTGTCCTGTAGGGTCGCTATGAGTTGGAATCAACTGGATGGCAATGGGGTTAACATAGTAGACAATATGTTTTCTGATTCAAAATGTCCAATACCAGTCTGTTTCAGCTCGCTCATGCCTAAGATATCTTTATGTGTTCCATTTCATTTTTGACAATTTCTAAGTTTCCTAGATTCATACCTCATGCATTCCATATTTTAATTAGTAATGGATTTTTACAGCTCTTTCTTCTCATTTTATGTCATGCCACATAAGCAACTGAAGGTCCACATCATTAAGATCAACTCTACTTTGAGGAAGCAGCTCTTTCACAGTTGTATTCTGAGCACCTTCCAACTTGAGGGGTTCATCTTCTGGCACTTTATCAGACAATGTTCCACTGCTGTCCATAAGGTACTCGCTAATTTTTTTCAGAAGGAGATGACCAGGTGCTTTTTCCTGGTCTCAGTCAGGAGGCTCCACTGCAGTCTGTCCACTGTGGGTGACTCAGCTGGTATCTGAAATACTGCTGGCATAGCTTCTAGCATTACAGCAACACACAAGCCATCTACTGACAGACGAGTGGTGGTGAAGGCCTTAAGGCATGGAAACTGGAGAAGAAATTCTTCCTTAAGACTACAGCATAAAAAAATGAAACAAGATCTGTACCTCACACCATACACAAAAATGAACTCCAGATGGATCAAAGACTTAAATGTGAAACCTAAAACTATACAGTTCCTCAAGGAAAATTTAGGGGCAAATTTAGGGGCCCTAATATATGGCATAAAGAGACTCTCAAGCATAACTCAAGATGCGCAAACTGCAGAAGAGAAGCCAGATGACTGGGACCTTCTAAAAATTAAACTTTTATGTGCTTCCAAAGACTTCTCCAAAAGAGTCAAAAAAGAACCTACAGATTGGGGGAAAATATTTGGTAATGACATATCTGACAAGGGACTTAGCTCTAGAATTTATAGAAAACTCCAAGACCTCAATAACAAAAAGACAAACAATCCAATTAAAAATTGGGCAGAAGACATGAATAGACACTTC